AATATGCGGATTAACTTGATACAAAGTGATAAATTAAGTTGCAATTGAAATAAACAATGATACAGTAAATTCAAACCACACGAATTGGATAATTTGAATCTCGGAAAGTCAACCACCCTCGAGCTGGATGCATTTTGATCATTATCACGATACAGAAGAACAAGAGCTTAAAGAGAAAAATAATAATGTATTGCTTTGGAATGCGTGTTACAATGTGTTAAATGAATCATCAGATCCCATTTATATCGTATTGGAGTCCTACTTTAGGTACAATTCTATAAAAGGTAAAAAGATCTCTTGATTTGTCGATTGCCAGTTCCTCATTGATATCTGTCGAGATTCCCGCCGCAATATCCGGCCGGTCACGGATATTTCAGTCTTCTGTTATGCTAACAATGTTTCTTCGAGCTCGTTCGAGGCTAGGATCGATTCCAAGATCACGACCTCGATATTCTCGAAGGCAGGCGTTCCAACCCCAAGTTCTAGCCCGGTGGGACTTGGGTCGATCTTCAATTCTTTATTTTNATATATATATACAAAATATTATCTAATATTGTTAATTAATCTATATATTGTCTACAAGCTAACAAAATGCTCAATACACAACAGCTGCAAAATAATATCTAATTTGGTTGAATAATCTATATGTTATCTCTAAGATATTAGAATGCTGGATATAACAAATAATGTATTGACCCTTTGCCTAATATGAATTTATGAGGAAGTCTAAAAATAATTAAATTCTAAGTTTCTTTATGCATACGATAACCAACGGATTCTTGAAGTTTTAAACCATACAAATTCTCGATTACTAAGGGCATTGAACCACTTTGTTTCATTGCCCCAGGCAGAGTTTCTCTAAAGATAATGCTGAAAATTAATATTGTTACACTAACATTAATTGAAATAACACATACCATTGATCTCTAAAGGTATAAAATTTGAACTTAAATATAATGTCAATATAAAAGACGTTGATATCCAAAACTAAAAACTATGACGAAATATAAAAAATACGACACAAAAACAATTATAATAAAAGTTAAAATGTCCTTGTTTTTCTCTCTAATTCATACATGACCCTAAAGCATTACTCAATTGCGAAAAAACGGGAACAATAGAGAGAACTAATAATACCTTTGGAGAAATTTATTTCTTTCTACACCAATACCTGTAGAGAACAATGAATAATGTGGATCAATAGGAATAACTGGCTTATTCTTTTCCTGCATAGAGTCATGCAATAAATCTGAATCCTACACAAACCAGAGAATTACATAAGGAAGCATATTGTTTTGTTGTGAAAAACGGAATAAGCTAGGAGGAAAAAGACAGCGGTAGAGACCAAACCAAGAATTTAACCAAAATCGGCATATTATTGTCCAACAAATAGTAGGTTAGCAAGAAGAAGTATGCAACGAGAAGTAGAGTTCAAAAAAAGAATTTGACCCAAAGTTGGCTATGTAGCCTCGGTGTATGCTAGTTTAAATGAAATGAAAAATCAGCGATTTACAAATATTTAAGGTTATAAAAGTTGATCAATATTTTGAGGTTATTTAATCGTTCAACATTTAGTATAAATTATTCGTACTTTTATAATAATAATATAATATATATATTATTTTGACGGACATCTATACAATGTGAATTTCTGTAATGATACTATGAGCCCGTTTGGATTGGCTTATTTTAAGTACTTTTAAGCCAAAATACCTTTTAAGTCATTTTGTAGTGTTTGAATATATAAAAAAAAATGCTTTCAAGCATTTGTTTTAAAACAAAAATGACAAAAATAAGTCAAAAGCCAAAAACTAAAATTCCTAACTTATGGCTTTCGGCTTAAAAGTCATTTACAACAAGCACATCCAAACGTGCTCTATATTTCTTTAAGGGCCCTTGTCATCTCATTTGTAGAAACGTGCACAAATTATTTTTCACATAATTAACCGGAAAGTAAAGAAAGTTGATCATGAAGCTGTTAGAGCTGATAACGTTTGTTTAAACTTTTTTCTTTTTAAAAGTTAAGTTTGCAAAATCAGGTTTTGAAGATTTGAAAACAGCATTTGTGTGGCATGCTTTGCAAAGATAATTTACTTTTTTCCCTCTCCAAACTCGGGAAATGTTAAAAACTCCTCAAAAGATATGAAAATATGAGTTTGAAAATCTTCAATTTCTTTTTTTTTTTGGGCAAAAAAAGAAACTGAAAAATTGAATTTGCAAACTAACGGCATGGATTTCACGAAACTTATGATATGATTTGTATTGACTTTTGGCCATGAACTGATTCTTGGTGACCAAAACACGTAATACTTTATAGCACAGAGAGACTAGATAGAGAGAGAGGAAAAAGCTGAATGATGATAGCAATTGTTAACAATACTGTTGAATCATAAACTTTCTTTTGAAGAAAAAGTCAAAAAAGATGAAATCGTATGACTATTTTAGAGATTTTCATATCTTTTAGAACTATTCCACCCAAGTGTTTTAGGTCCTATCACATTTTTTTTTGCTAACAAGGAACCCGAATGCCGCTACACTTTGGGTGCACAACTGTCCTATATAATAATACCTCGAAAATCCCATTAGAGTATAAATTGTAATAGACAAGTCCGGTAGGATGGACTCAATCCACAAAATATGCAAGTGTGTTTCGATTCATACTTATTATTAATACTATTTTTTTCACCATACTTATTGTTAATACCAATTCGTGGAGAAACTGAGAGTGAAGGGATTGCTCTTCAAAAAGGAGTGCCACGATTTTCCTATAAAGCGATAAGAAAGGAGTCGGGCTCGGGCCTAACTCCCCCAAAAGAAGAAAAAGTGGAAAATAAAGAAGTAGACGCGTATCACACGACATACTTGAATTGTGCCTTCTAATTGACTCGCGTTCCTTTCTGCTTTATGAAAATTTTGAAACCGTGACTTATATACACTATATCTATACACGCGAGTTTTTGACTAAAATTATCCTTTTTGGGAGTAAGTGTAACTTTGAGGTCGGATTTTTAATTGTAAATGCTCTGTTAATATGTGCATCAGGCTACATAGTTAAATTGTTGCTCCTATATCTGCTAATTGGTAAAGCTTATATGGATTATATTTGGATGTCTAGATTAATTTATAGTACATAGTATTTTTGATCTCTTAACATTGTTGCCATGGCTTTGTATCGTGTTTAAATACTCAATTGTCAATTTCATTTTCGTCTCGGTTAATAAGAAAATCTAGCTATCTTTAGTCATCTCCAATTACTAGTATTAAAAGTTTTTTTTTTTTTTTTGTCATCGACTTGCATTATTTACTGATTTGATATGGAAATAAACGAACGCGACATGCAACCCTCTATTCTCTTTTTGTGTTTCTTCCTAATCATTGGATAGCTACTGCCCTTTTTAGCATTTTTGTGGCTATGCAATCCTCAATTATAAGAGCAAATAAAATTAAGAAGGTTAGGATTTTTCTTACTACTGAAACAAAGATGAAAAAAATGAATAGGAGAAGAAGGTGGAAGGAATAAAATTGATTTGGGGTGAAGAGCTAGCTTCTCTTCACGTGCAGGTCATTTCTCTGTTAGTTTTAACCGTCTTTGGGGAGTTTGCTGTTATTTGAATTATATATAGTGCTCATGGTTATATTTAGAGGATAAAATTATACCTATCCTTAAAGATAATGGAAAATTTTAGCCAAAAACTTCGCTATATACCCTACGGATTAACAATGAAAACTTTTCTCTAGCAGTCAAGCGCTAATGTCCCATATAGTACCTTATTGCTTGCGGCTCCTTTATATGCACGGAAAAATGACAAAGAATCTGGGTTGCTTCAAGTCCAAGAAAAAAGAAGAAAATACGGGTTGCTTTCATAAGTAAGCTCCTACCATTTTAATAACGAGAGGTGTAAATGAGATTGTTGACATTCTCTGATTCAATTACTAGGAATGAAAACCTCGACGCGAATTTGAATTAATCGAACAATAAAAAAAGCTTATATCGAACAAATTTAAAAGTCTAGGTTGCTTCGACTCCAAGGAAAACTTTTATGATACTGCCCCAAACTTAAATGTGAGAATGCAAGACTTGATTATATTTTCAATTCCTATGAATATGTGACTTTTTTTTTTAATCTTTGTATTTCTCGGTTTGGAATGGCAATTAACATATCAGGCAGCATTAGACAGACTAAAATCACACGCACCTAAATTTTTGTATTGAAAACATCATACTGTGAAATTGATTTTCGATGTCTTTAAATACTACTAGCATAAATGGTATGAGCCTATATACTTTTGTGTGTGATAAAATATGAAATAAATCTATATGTATTATTGATAGATTGATAAAATTATATAAAGATAAAGGTGTAATAACAATTTATGCATAACAAAACAGTTGATCTTTATTTTCTCGGCACCTAATTGTAATATTGTACCTCAATAATGTTTGGTAGTGATGAACGAGTCTTTATCAATCGAAATCCCTGTCAACTATCTCTTTTTACCGCTATTCGGTCAGTTTCAAGGTTATACGGTAACTAATTAATCGAAGTAGTAATTTTTTACTTTTACCACCAACCAAGTACATCAACATTGACTGCTGACTAGCCTTACAATTCTGGAAAATGAAGTAATAACAAAAACAGAAACAACCAAAAAGCTTACAGGTCGCGTAGTTCACGCCACGAACGTGATATGATATCCCTTCTTCGGTTCAATTAAAAAAAAGGAGGACTCACGAGTTGCGACAACCCAAGTTCGGTGCCACAACAACAATAGTGGATAAGCCCATTTCCGTCATTTCACAACAATTTGCGCGTCACCTCAGTAAGACGTGGCGTCCTCTGCTTTCGATCATGAAATGAACCGCAACATGCACGCGCCACGTATAATGTTGGAGCAGATAAAATCAACAAGGCCACATCATACGCCGACGTGGCAACCCCAATCCTAGTCAGCTACCCTACCACTCTATATCCCCCGTTTTTAAAATGACCCACCCAAACTCCCTGATCACCACTTTGAAGGCACTCCACCCACAGTTTTCACCTAAAAGCTCACTCCTTTACTCTCTCTAGGGTTTATTATATATATATCTTCGTCGGTAATATCGCCGGAAATGATTTTTCCGGCCATCGGTTTTGTTATGGAGTGTTATTGTGATGACGTCATGTCGTGTAGCCGTCGCAAAATCGGCGATTTTTAGCCGTCTCGTGTTTGTTGAACCTTAAGCAAAAGTTACAGACTTTTTAGCTTAGGAGAGTTTCCAAGTTATTCCATGCTTTGTCGAGTAAACCGCTAGAAGACTATTTTCTACTCTAAATACTGATTTTCTACTAGATAAAAAGGTATCTGTTTTAGCTTAAGCCTCTCTTTTGTATTAGTTTCTCACAGTTCATCAATTTCTCGCCGAATTCTCGTGAATCATTTGAAATTTTCGTGGTCGATTGTAGAGTGTGAACTTGAAATCGTAGTATCAGAATTGTAGTTATGCCTTTTCCGATGAAGATTCAACCTGTTGATTTCAATACCGTGGAAGAACCGAGTCGATATGACTCGTTTAAGCCGGTTCAAAAGTCACGGTTCAAGCGGCTATTCGAGAGGCAATTTTCAGGACTTTTGAGATCATCGGCGCCGCTGGAGAAGCTGGTGGCCGGCGAAGAGTTGATTTGTAATAAGAAGGATGTTGCGTCCGACGAGTTCGAGCCGAGCTCCGTTTGTTTGGCTAAAATGGTACAGACTTTCATTGAAGAAGGTGAGGCCGATAAACATCGGTGCAATCGGAACCGAAAATGCAATTGCTTTAACTGTAATGGTACTGACAGCTCAGAGGAGGAAACTGATTCACTCAGTTGCTTCGGTGAATCGAATCATACTTGTTGCAACGATGCTTGTGAAATCCTCAAGGTATTGCATGTTCCATTAATATGCAATTTTACCTTAATTTGTTGTTAAAATTCTTCTTAGAGTTAAATTAACAGTGTCTGTTCTTTGCGTGTTTCTCAAAATAACTCCCTTTTTGGTGTAGAGTTTGGTGCCGTGTCCTTCCGTTATTGAAAGGAACGTTTTAGCTGATATTACAAAGATCATTGAGAAAAACAAGATGGGAAAGCGAAAGGACAATTTCATCCGAAAGATAGTTGTTGATGGCCTCTTAGCTGCGGGATATGATGCTTCAATCTGCGAGTCTCGCTGGGACAAAACTCCTTCCACTCCTGCCGGTAAACTCACAATTTCAACAACAAAGATGTGCTGGATTTTTTTGCTTAAATCTGAATTGGAAACTATTAACTTCATGCTCATATGTGTACTGACATATAAATCTCTTTAGTTTTGTATGGTTAAAGATCTATATATATTCCAGTAACTGTGAGATGACATATAAATCTCTTTAGTTTTGTATGGTTAAAGATCTACTATATATATTCCAGTAACTGTGAGAGTGAGAATATTAATTTTAAAGTCGTCAAATTATTGCTAAAGGTATTGCAATGCATCTGACCGAAAATAGAGCAGAATGGATACAAAAACTTACAATGAAGTCAATTGGTTCATTCATCATATAATCGATCCTATTATTTCGACACAGAAGACACATATAATTGATCCCAATTAGTTCCAGATTAAGGCCTAATAGCAAGAAAACTTGGTCTGCAACATGGCAAGTTACAACTTGCATTTTGTTTTATATTCAGGCTAGCTTAAATGGAGAAACATGAACAATGAAGATTCATATAGCCAATACCAACGTGTTTGGGACTGAGGCATAGTTGTTGGCTATCTGCTTAGGCTGCCTTTTTTTCTTTCTTGCTATTATGGGGCTAAGAATTCAACAAAAAGTCTGAATCTTTTCTACAGGAGCGTATGAATATGTTGATGTTTGCTATTATTTTTGGGTTAAGATTTCAACAAGACTCTATCTTTTCGACAGGATCGTATGAATATATTGAAGTTGTTGTGTATGAATATGTTGATGTTGTTTGCTATTTATTGGGTTAAGAGTTCAACAGAAGTCTGAAAATTTTCTACAGGAACGTACGAGTATGTTGATGTGGTGATTGAAGGAGAAAGACTACTAATTGACATTGATTTCAGATCAGAGTTTGAAATAGCAAGGTCGACCAGGTCCTACAAATTTCTCCTCCAATTGCTGCCCAACACTTTTGTAGGCAAAGCGGATCGCCTTCAGAAGATTGTTCATTTGCTAACAGAGGCTGCAAAGCAGAGCTTGAAGAAGAAAGGAATGCCTTTTCCTCCATGGCGTAAAGCTGAATACGTGAAAGCCAAATGGCTGTCACCTTACACCCGTATCAAACCAACTCTAATGGGGGCACCAACCGTGTCAAACTCTGCTCCCGAAACTGGCACTGCTTGCAAAACCTATCAACAAGCGGTAAAGGAGGAGTCTTCAGAGGATTCTTGCGGGGAGCTGAATCTGATTTTTGGAGAGAGCAGCCAACTCTTGGAGAATAACGCCAAGAGCGTGATTACCTATCCTCTATCTGCTTGTGATGACGAAGAAAAGGATGTGATGGTGCAGCAAGGCAAACCACCTGACACTAAACACAAGGATTCAAGCAATGGTGCCAGGAAGATAACTGGTTTAACTTCTCTGATTGAAGACCACACATGAAATTTTGACCTGTCCTAACCTTTTTGTCGTTTGTTGCTTCTCTGTGTCGAGTTGAAAACCCCGTGTGTTTTAGTAATTGGGGCCATTTGAATCTACGGACCAACTGCCTACTGGTTTGTCTCGGCAGTCCCCCTTCAAGTTTTATAGTAAGGGTCTATGAGTCCATGCCACTAATACAACTTTATAGTCGATAGATTAGTAAAGGAGCACTGATAAGTGTCTTGTTTGTCAGTTTGGTTCTTGGATATTTTCCAAGTGTTTTGCAAATACATGTTAGCTTGTAGTATTACTAATATCATGAAAATAAAGTCTTGGAACTATTTTGGTATGAGCTTCTCTTTTTGCAACTTTTCATGCGTTACCACTTGAAGCGGCCATTGCGCTTGTAGTGCTTGTGTTTTACTTTTGAGTCTTCGTTCTCTGGCAGTTTGATGTTCTAATTTCATTGTGCAAACCCGTTCGTAGCTATCGTAATGAGAGAGCGAACTCGACCTGATTTTCAATTAAGCTGTCATTTACCCAGTCTTATGTACTTTAATGTGTCGTTTGGTACATCCGATAAGAATAATACGTTTGGGATTAACTTTAGTTTGAGGCATTAGTTAATTTCGGGACAAGTGGTGAAATTATTTATCCCACCTAGAAGGTGGGACAAGTCTACACTAGACGGTGCAATTATTTATCCCATGCGAAATAGAATAACTAATCCATGAAATAGCCCATGGATATCCCACTATTAATCAATAAAATATTAGAGGAAGTGGAGAATGTAAGATACATAGTTACGTTTTGCTCTCTCGAAACATTAAAAGATAAGATGACATGGTATAGCGAAGAACTCTTTAATCAGAAACCAAAAGTAACAGAACGAGTTTTGCGAAATAATGCATGCAGGATGCACTGTATTCTTTATTAAGGTGATTCTTATAAGTTATAATATAAAGGGGAGCGGGGAAGAGAATTGATTTTCGCACCATATATAGACGTGTGACCTTTAATATTTTATGGAAGCGTTTCCTTTCAATATTAAAGGGATGATCTTAGTGCGAAAGAATCAAAAAGCTCATCTAGACATGAAAAATTGTACAAACTGCAAAGAATATAATTATTACTGCTGGATAAAAGATGAGGCATTGCGTAAAATGGAGGTGTGATAGGACTTTAATTTGCCCCATACTGAGCCAAGTTACCAACTTTTTGGTGAAATTTTCCGTCTTCTTTTTGTCGCAGCGTAATGCCGCGTTAGGTAGAATTTCACAAGTGTTCTTATTCAATTTATTAGTATCCAGTTTACTATTGGAGTATCTTATAAAGACTTGACTGGTCATCGTTGAAAGTGCCATATTTTGTTAGAAGGTGTTAATATCAAGTGTAAATAAGCTTTTTCCCCTATTTGCTCCCTTTTGACATAAGAACCACATTTTTGTTTGTTACAATTCCTTCCATGTAACTGAAGTGAGCTCAAATTGCAGGAAGGGTATCCCATCTTCCTCTTGTTTTGGGTTAATTTACTTAAAGAATGTTTCTGGAAAAGAGGAACGAATATTAAATTTGTCTGACACGGTGTTTGTGGATTAGTCAAACTCAATAGTAGTTGTTTATGGTAGAACCAAGGCCAATATATTCCAACTTTAGTTACTTGTATATTTTCGATTTGATTTGAATATTGCTGCTCCCTTTCATTCTAGCTTTTCGAATCAATTTTATCTGAAGATTTATATATGTTTATCAACATTTGAACAACAATGTGGGTGCCTAATACTTAATTTTCATATCTCAAGACCAGTGAAAATTTTCATATATTCATTTTTGTAGAAATGGAAAAGAGTACTACGGAGTAATAAATAATAATGGGTAGCTGGGAAAAAAGTTTATTTACGCATTGCAGAAGTAGTATTATCTAATTCCGTGTAGATCTAGAACGTGTCACTTTTATGTATAAAAGGATTATCTCATAATCAATGGTTAATTTCCTCTCACGCACTGCAGAGAATATAATTATTACTTGTGGATCAAAGCTGCTGACTTACGTGAAAAGGAGAGAGCTAAGGAATTTCCTTTTTGGTGAATTTCAGTGTTCTTTTGTCGCGACGTGCTGCTGCTGCGTTACTACATTTTCAGTAAAGTTATTGTGCAACTTATTCGGGAAGATGCTGTGGGAACGGGCAAACGGAGTCTACCCATAAAACCATACTCCAAAATCTCAAAAAGAGGTTAGACAGATGCCAAAGAAAGATGGAAAGAAATCTTGCCCTAAGTCCTACGGGCATACCATACGACCTCAAAGTCCAATATCGGAGTCACCCGTTTCTCATTAGTCTACGGCCCCGAAGTCCTAATACCGGTCGAAGTCGGAGAACCAAGTCTCAGGTTCCGATTTGCAATCGAAGAATCAAACAACGAGACCATGAACATGAGCCTGGAACTGTTAGACGAAAGGCATGAAGCCGCCCTCGTCCGAATGGCCGTCCAGAAACAACGGATCGAGAGGTATTACAATCGAAGAGCCAACCTTTGCCACTTCAATGTCGGGGACTTAGTGTTGAGGAAGGTCACATTAAACACCCGGAACCCGAACGAGGAAAATCTGGGACCGAACTGGGAAGGTCCGTATCAAATTGTCGAGATCACTAGAAAGGGGTCGTACAAACTCGGAACAATGAACGGAGAACAATTACCGAACAACTGGAACGTAACTCACTTGAAACGATATTACTACTAAGGTACGACCCCGATCACTTCTTTTATTTATCTACATTTTGGGCTAACACTTGTAGGTAGCCGTCAAATAGCGACATAATTTTCTAGGTCTGAAAGCACGCGTTGTACTCTTTTTCCCTTGAACCGATTTTGTTCCAAATGGGTTTTCCGGCAAGGATTTTAACGAGGTAATAGTGGATCGTGCTAACTTAGAATCGAAGACCGGTTGTCAACAATATTCGAGGCTTCTCTACGATCGACCTCTAACACTGGGGGGCATTACTCGTGGTAAACAATTTTGGCAAGGAAAGAAACTTCGCGCTCAAATAGTCTAGGTTCAATCGATAGAATTTACTGTAAGGGCCAAACAATGAAATGAACCATGCTCATATAGACCACTCGAGCCCGAACACAAAGTTTGAACACATGTGCAACCTTGCATATTACGCACAAAATTGAAAGAAAGTTTCTACCTTGCGGATAAATATTTTGCCTTTTGAAATTTTTTCCTTATTACATTTTGTAATGACCTGACCGATTGTTTTACTTTCTAGAACCCCGTAATACTTCCCGTACGTGTTTTTACTGTTTTATGACTTGCGGGGATGGGTGGTTCGGGATTTGGAAGGGTTTGGGTTAAAATCGGAACACTTGATTCCTTAAGTTGGCCTTAAAAGGCTAAATTTGACTTCGGTCAACATTTTGAGTAAACGACCTCGGAATTGCAATTTGACGGTTCCAATAGGTTCGTATGATGATTTTGGACTTGGGCGTATGTTCGGATCGGATTTTGGATGACTCGGGAGCGTCTTGGCGCCTAATAGTGAAAGTTGGTTATTTGAAGGTTTTAAAAGTTCTTTAAATTTGGTTTGGAGCGGGTTTTGGTGATACCGAGGTTCAAATAAAATTTCGAGATCGGGAATAGGTCCGTAATGTCATTTAGGACTTGTACACAAAATTTGATATCATTCCGAGTAGCTTAAGTACGTTTCGGCGCATTGGGAGTAAATTGAAGAACTTGGAGTTCATAAGTTTGATTCAATTGGTTTTGGAGTGTGATTCTTAGTTTTAACATTGTTTCGGGCGTTCCGAGAGTTCGAGCGAGTCCGTTTTATGATTCCAAACTTGTTGGTATGTTCGGGCGGGGCCCCGGGGCCCCTGAGTGTCAATCAGACGAGGCTCAGACCAAGTTGGAAATTGGGAGCAACAACTGAAGCTCCCAACTGTTGTCATAATCGCACCTGCGCTTGGCCAGCCACAGGTGCGAGCTCGCAGAAGCGGCCAAGAAAGGGCAGCCCAGGATCCGCAGGTGCGCCCCAATCTCCGCAGAAGCGGGACCCCGTCCGCAGAAGCGGAGCCAGCCTGCCTGGGCATTGTAGCAGAAGCGGACTTTTGTCCGCAGAAGCGACAATGCAGGTGTGGCCCTGCGATCGCAGGTGCGAGATCGCTGGAGGCAGTGAGGTCTCTTTTAAAACGGGACTTAGTCATTTTGGCTCATTTATTTTCATTGTTGAGCGATTTTTGGAGCTCTCAGAGAGGGGATTTCACCTAACACTTTGAGGTAAGTAATTTCTATACAATGTGTGTTAAATACATAGTTTATCGGTAGATTATAACATGTAAATTAGTAAAAATTATGGGTTTAGGTGAAAAATTAGGTTTTTGATAAAAATGAGATTTAACCACGAAATTGATTATGGAATTTAGTAAAAATCATATATTTGAGTTCATGAGTTATGGGTAACAACTTTCTTATAAAATTTTCGGAATCCGGGCACGTGACCCGGAGGTGAATTTTAGGAATGTTGCAAATAGGCCCGAGAAATCACTTTGATAGTTGGAATATGAACTTTTAAGCATGTATTAATTATTTTAAATAACACTTGACTAGTTGCGAGTCGTTTGGCGCTAAATTGAGGGTTTGGGCACAATCTTGGACCGGAAAGTAGGCCTTGAGACGAGGTAAGTCTCTTTTCTAACCTTGTAAGAGGGAATTAACCCCAAAGGTGAACTTAATCAATATATACTTCTATTTGTGGGGAGCTACGTACGCACGGAGTGACGAGAGTCCGTGCGTAGCTACTATATATGCTTAAGTCCTGGTAGATTTAGGTTTACACCATGTTTTGTTGATACCGTTGCTTATTTATGCTTACTAATTGTTTGGATTAAAGCGGAGGTTGAGGATTTTAATATTTTAAAGGTTCCTGGTTGATTTTCCTATTTTGAAAAGAATTGAGAGACATTGTGATAATTTGAGAAAAATCTATGTTCAACCGCTTCGCAAGTATATTCCGCGAGCGGGGCAAATTTTTACTACTCTCATGGGAGCAGGCCGTTCGCCTTAGCAGGTTAATTGATGTATCTATGATTCGGGTCGTTCGACCCTCGACAGTGCACAATATATTTATATGTATATTTGGATCGGGCCGTACGTCCTCAGCATAATTCGTGCGTAAAAATTATTGGAACCCCCTCTTATACTTAATGTTGTTTCTTGGACTTGAAAGGTGAAAGGTTTTGATGAGAGAAATGACTTAGTTCTTACTTGAAATGAAAGGATTATATACTTAATTTTCCTGCTCTGAGTTCTATTATCATTTATATATATTTAATTAGAACTTCATGTTA